CTGCACTTGTTTTTCATTGCAGCACTCTTTACAATAGCCAGAAACTGGAAGAAACATGAATGCCCAAGAACAGATGACTGGTTAAAGAAACGTTGGTACATCTACACAATGGATTACTATGTAGCTGTTAGAAAAGATGAAGTCATGAAATTTACATACAAGTGGTACAATATGGAAAGTATCATGCTAAGCTAAATGAGTCAGAAAGAGAGGGATAGACATAGAAAGATTGCATTCATCTGGGGGATATAAAGTAACAAAGTATGAGGTCATAAATCCATTTTGATCTTACTTTTGTGCATGGTGTTAGGCAGAGATCTGAGCCCACTTTTTTGCATGTAGCCGTCCAATTTTGCCAGCACAGTTTGTTGAAGAGGCTTTCCCTGCTGATCAAAATGGATTTATGACCTCAACATCAGACCAGAATCCATAATGTTTATTGAAGACAAAGTCGGCAAAACTCTCCATGATATTGAAGCTAATGGTATCTTCAAAGATGTCACGCCACTGGCTGAGCAAGTGAAAACAGAGATAGACAAATGGGACTATCTTAAACTAAGAAGCTTCTGCACCTCCAAAGAAACAGTGACCAAAATACAAAGACAGCCTACAGAATGGGAAAGGATATTCACCAAGTACACATCCGACAAGGGGTTGATATCAAGGATATACAAGGTACTGGTTAAACTCCACAAGAAGAAATCACCCAACCCCATCAAAAAATGGGGTGAGGAAATGAACAGAAACTTTCGCAAAGAAGAAATTCGAATGGCAAAAAGGCACATGAGAAAATGCTCTACATCACTAATCATCAGAGAGATGCAGATCAAAACCACAATGAGATATCATTTCACACCACAGAGACTGGCCCACATCCACAAGAACAAAAGCAACCGGTGCTGGCGCGGATGTGGCGAGAAAGGGACCCTCCTTCACTGCTGGTGGGAATGCCGGCTGGTCCAACCCTTTTGGAAAACAGTATGGACGACTCTCAAAAAATTAGAATTTGATCTGCCATTTGACCCAGCTATAGCACTCCTGGGAATATATCCCAGAGAGGCAAAAAGGTATAGTCAAAGTGACATCTGCAATTGTTTGTTCATTGCAGCACTCTTTACAATAGCCAGAATCTGGAAAAAACCTGAGTGCCCAAGAACAGATGACTGGTTAAAGAAACTTTGCTACATTTACACAATGGAGTACTATGTAGCTGTTAGAAAAGATGAAGTTATGAAATTTACATACAAGTGGTACTACATGGAAAGTATCATGTTAAGCGAAATGAGTCAGAAAGAGCGGGATAGACACAGAAAGATTGCATTCATCTGGGGAACATAAAGCAACAAAAAGTGAGAGTGACACACAGGAATGGCTGAGATTAGTACCAGGAATTTTGCTCCATGAATGGAAGGCCAGCCACAGGCTCTAGGTGAAAAGGAAGCTCAGATAGAGAAGAGATTACCAAATGAAGGGTGTTGTGAGGGCCCTCCCAGGGTGGGAGAAGCATGCTAAAAGTAGTCGATAGACCAAACATGATTGCCACTCAAAGCCTCTCTTACAAAACACAGTACCCAAAAGAAGAGAGAGAGAACAAGGGGGAATACCCTGCCACAGAGGCAGGATGGGACGGGGGGGGGGGATGAGGGGGGGGATGCTGGGACCCATGGGGATGGATGACGGGCACTGGTGGAGGTATGGGGACTTGATCATTGTATAGCTGAAACCCAAGCACAAAATTTGTAAGCCTATAACTGTACCTCATGGTTTTTCACTAATAAAAAAAAAAAAATAAAAAAAAAAAAAAAAAAAACTTAAAAAAAAAAAAAAAAATAAAGTAACAAAGTATGAGATTAATACCCAAGAATAGCCGAGATCAGCACCAGGAGGATTACTCCATAACTTAGAGGCCAGCCGGGTATCCTAGAGGAAAGGGCAGTTCAGATAGAGAAGGGAGCACCAAATAAAGGATGTTTGGAGGATCCTCCCAGGAGGGGAGATGCATGTCGAAAGTAGACTATGGACTGAACATGTTTGCCACTCAATGCCTCTTTTGCAGACCACAACACCCAAAAGGAGAGAGAGAACACAGGGGATTGCCCTGCCACAGAGACAGGGGGGGATGGGGGGATGGGGGTGGGGGGATATTATCCATGGTGGTGGAAAATGCGCACTGGTGGTGGGATGGGTATCTGATCATTGTATAATCGAAACCCAAGCACAAAACAACTGAAAAAAAATTAATTCTTCACACAAAAAAAAACTAGATACCAATTAATGTTTGGTGGAAATTCCTAAAAAATAAACTCAACGAGATTCAATAAGCAGAAACCCCCAGAAATTCCTTTAGCGACTACAGAAATGGAATTCCAATTCCAGCAAGGGATCAGGCCCCAAAGGCATGACTGTGTGACCACTGCAAGTCAGGTACGAATGTCCAGTGTCTAACTTGTGGGCTGCTGTGCCACCCTTGCTCTCCCCACCATCAATCCAGAGAGCGTCTGTGCCTGCAGGGGACCATGAGGTGCCAGGCTTTTTCCTGCTCAGAGATGTGGACCTGCCTCTCAGCCAGGCAAAGGGCAGCTAGTGAACAGCGTCCCTGACAGTCTCTAGACAACAAACTCTCTGGGGACCAGCAGTTAGCACTGTCTAGCATTTTAGGATTTGAAGGTAAGAAAACTTCCACAGTAAGAAAACTTTTTGGAACTGGAGCGATAGCTCAGCGGGTAGGGTGTTTGCCTTGCATGCAGCCAACCCAGGTTTGATTCCCAGCATTCCATATGGTCCTCCGAGCACCGCCAGGAGTAATTCCTGGGTGCGGAGCCAGAAGTAACCTCTGTACATAGCCAGGTGTGACCCAAAAAGCAAGAGAAAAAAAAAAAGAAAACTTTTCAGCAGAATGATTTTTGTTTACGCCGGGTTTGCTCCACCTATGACTGTATTAAGAACTCTTACTAGAGGGACTGGGACCATAGTACAGTGGGGAGGGCACTTGCCTTCCATCATCTAACCCAGGCTCAATCTCTGGCACTCCGTATGGTCCCTGAAGTCCACCAGGGGGGATCCCTGAGTGTAGAACCACGAGTAAGCCCTGAGTGTGACCCAGAAACTAAAGTAAAAACAAAAGAGTTCCTGTAAGAGTAATCATAAATCATTCTCCATTAAACCTTCCAGGGATATAAGAATGCAAAACAAACAAACAAACAAACAAAAAACTTGTTATTTTAAGGAAGTCAGATTAAAAATCTATTCATTATAAAAACATAATGGGAGACTAACATCCAAGGATAGTAGAGATAAGGGCCAGGAGGATCTCTGCATGGTTGGAAGCCGGCTTCACATGCTGGGGGAAAAGGCAGCTGGGATAGAGAAGGGACCACCAATGATGCTTGGAGGGATCGCTTGGGATGGGAGATGTGTGCTGAAAGTAGACTATGGATCAAATATGATGGCCACTTATTGCAAACCATAACACCCAAAAGGAGAGAGAGAGTAAGAGGGAATGTGCCTGCCACAGAGGTGGGGGGGGGGTGGCAGGGGGAATACTGGGAACATTGGTTGTGGAAAATTGGTACTGGTGGAGGGATGGGTACTCAATCATTATATAACTGAAACGTAATCACGAAAGTTTGTAAGTCTGTAACTGTATCTCATGGTGATTCATAAATAGCACTGAAGCACTGTCCTCCCGTTGTTCATTGATTTGCTCAAGCGGGCCCAGTAACGTCTCCATTGTGAGACTTGTTGTTACTGTGTTTGGCATATCAAATATATCACGGGGAGCTTGCCAGGCTTTGCCGTGCGGGCGAGGTACTCTCGGTAGCTTGCCAGTCTCTCTGAGAGGGGTGGAGAAATAGAACCCGGCTCGGCCGGGCCAGCCGCATGCAAGGCAAACGCCCTACCACTATGCTATCGCTCCAGCCTGATTCATAAATAAATAAAATAAAATCATGAAGCTCTCTGGGGGAAAAAAATCTATTCATTTATAAAGTTGCAGATTATTTTAAGCCAATTCTCAGGCTCTGTTAGCACCTTGGCATATATGGTGCTACATTCTACTGTAGTTTGTTCTCAAATACTTGGAGGAAAGGAAGGAACTTGACCCATGCGGTTAATATGAACTGTGTGATTCTAGGTTTGATAAAACTTGTGTGTGCAAATAAAGGAGGCTAGCACAGCGGGTAGAGCATTTGCCTTACACACGGCCCACCTGGCTGACCCAGGTTCGATTCCTCCGCCCTTCTCGGAGAGCCTGGCAAGCTACCGAGAGTATCTCGCCAGCACAGCAAAGCCTGGCAAGCTCCCCATGATGTATTCGATATGCCAAACACAGTAACAACAAGTCTCACAGTGGAGACATTACTGGGCCCACTTGAGCAATTCGATGAACAACGGGAGGACAGTGCTACAGTGCTACAGAGAAGAAGTGACAGAATTGATGTAATCTGTCATCAGTTCTGATCACCAGGAAGCATGGCAGGGTCAGGCTCAGCAACGTCATGGTCAGGTGACAGTTTTCCTCACCAGAGATTGTGAGCTCACCACGGTGCTGAGCACTGCAGTGAGAGCACCTCTTGCCCAGGAGGCTGATTATCTTTGCTTTTCATGTCCATCCTCAATGAAATGAGAGAATTATTTCCAAAAATGACTTGAGGTATCATATGCTATGCATCTCATCAGGACTTTTCTGGTGGACTCTGTGTGTGTGTCTGTGTGTATGTGTGTGTGTGTGTGTGTGTGTGTTAGAAATAAAAACTAGATTTCAGTGTTTGTGCCTTCTGATAACACATTGCAAAGATTTCTTGGCTCTTATTACATTTTCAGAATAAGCAGGAATCAAGAATTGACACAGGCCTGTCAAACCAGTGTCTGGTGTCTTAAGTACTACTGTGTCCCAGCCAAATTTCGGGAGTGAGTGAAGAGCACATGGACAGAAATCTTGCTTTTGCACCTTCCCATGCTGCTTTGCTCAGTGAGTACTCACACATATCTCTTCTGTGTAGGAAAGAAAAAGTCCAAATTTAAAACATTTAAGAAGTTATTTGGGAAGAAGAAGAGAAAAGAATCACCATCGTCCACGGGAGGTGGTGCCTGGAAACAGAGTCCTGTGAAGAGCGAGGTCATCGCCACCGAGACAGGGCCGGTGGGCTATGACTCCGAGGACGAGCTTGAGTAAGTCCCCGCTATGTCCCGAGAGCCTGGGTGGAAGCTTTAGTGACAGCGGGATGCTGAGCCTATTCTTTGGGTAATTCTGCCGAGGTTCTTGCATTAAAGTCCCGTTTTCTTTCATGCACAGTGATGAAATGTGCCTGGGCTGGGCGTTGCCAGGCATGCTCTGTGCCAGGCTCACTTAGGTCCCTGGAGAGGAGGGTTCACAAGCACACTAAGTCTGTGTGTCCAGAGAACTTACTCAGTGTTCTAGAACAGAGAATGGCAGCATTGGCACCTGAACCGATTTTATTCAACTTAATAACTGTCTTGAGGATTCCAGTGCTACACTCAACAAGGACAAACTTGGTACTGGAGTAATCCAATGTGAAAACTTTTCATTAGAGGGGAAGATGGGGAAGGCTTCTTGACATTTGGTCTAGAAAAATTATCCAAGATTTAATTATAATCTACTCAGTGGATATAGAAATTTGGGGGAAGTCTAGTAAATTAAAAAGAAAACTTTATTTATGCCATTTGTGTTCCATCAGAATATGCTCATACATGTATTTCTCTATTCTATTACTCTGTGCGGGCCAGCTTGATTCTTTCCTCTGATTGGGGTGCTGGGTTGGGACCCACTGGGACAGTGCCGCAGGGCTGGGCCAAGCAGGGCATGCTCTCTGCTCTGCCCCTCCCTCTGAACCCTCTGTAAGGGCACTGCCCCTCAGTGTGGGAGGGAGCCAGCATTCTCCCTCCACAGCCGCCTCGGCTGCTTTGTGAGGGAGTTGAAACTACAGTGACCACTTGGTGGCACTAAGCAACCAGAAGGAGGAGAGGGAGGTTTTGCTTGCAGGGTTTTGTTTTGGATTGGCTTGTTCTTTGCAGGGGGCTAAGGAGAGGAGGGACTGTAGCCACAGTTCTTAGGGGCACGCGTCAGGCTTGAGAAGGAAAACATTCTCAGATATTGCTGCTTGTGAAATGTCTCCTTGGGACCATACCCAGGGAAACTGGGCTCTTAGACCCAACCATCCGGGTCATTCGGACACACTGGTCATTTACAGGGTACTGGGCCCCTCAGACCCACCCAGCCGGGTCATCTGGACACACTGGTCACTTCTAGAACAGAAGCACAGTATGCAACAAGGCTAAATCACCTGTTAATTTGTCCTCTGCTCCGTCTCCAGCTCCCAGCATCCTTTCCTCTGTATTCCCAGAAGCCACCAGGGCCTAACCACTTAATCACTTAATCACTTAACTTCCCGTTAGTCGGCGATTTGCTCGAGCGGGCGCCAGTAACGTCTCCATTTGTCCCTGTCGCGTGCTAGTGTAGCCCAATGGCATCTGTTCGCTCCGGGAACATGAAGTGCCTCAAACCGATCGTTCATGATCTTGACGAAGAAGTCTGACCATCTGGTAGGTGGGCGGCCACACGGTCTTTTGACATCCCGTGGAATCCAGTCGGCAATAGCTCTAGTCCAGCGGTCGTCTTTAAATCTCATTACGTGACCAGCCCATCTGATTTTCGACATTTTGGCAAATGAGACAGCGTCCCTGATTCTTGATCGTCCACGGATGTCAGAACTCCGGATTCTTTCTCTCATTTGAGTGAAACGTGATATTCCAAGCATAGCTCTTTCTATTCTTCTTTGGGAGACCTGAATAGCGTTCTCATCTTGTTTGCGTAGGGCCCAGGTCTCTGAGGCATATGTTAATGCAGGAAGAACAGTGGAATCAAAGAGATGTGCCCGGAGCCGGAGGTTCTTCGTCCTCTTAGCTATTTCTTCGACGTTCTTGAAGGCGTTCCAAGCCGCTCTCTTCCTCCTGCGCAGCTCGGGTGCCAGGTCATTTGTCATGTTTACCTCTCGACCTAGGTACACATAGCTGTTGCATTCGGAGATGGTTGTTCCATTGCGAGCGAATGGGGCGTCAGGAACAAGGCTGTTTCTCATAAACATTGTCTTCGTAAGATTCAGCTGTAGTCCTACCTTTCCACACTCACGGTCAAAGTCGGCCAGCATTTGTGCCGCTTGGCTGATGTTTGGTGTTATTAAAACAATGTCATCAGCAAAGCGGAGGTGGTGTAGTTGCCGACCATCTATCTTCACTCCCATTCCTTCCCATTCCAGTCGTCGCATGATGTTCTCGAGGGTGGCACTGAAGAGTTTCGGTGAAATGGTATCACCCTGCCGCACCTGTCTCTTGACATCAACGATCACTTCTTTGTAGAATGGTGAGATCCTGGTAGTGAATCCGCAATACAGCTCACGGAGGATCCTGATGTATTGGACTTGAATGCCCTGATTGGCTAGGGCTTCAATGACCGCTTCTGGTCATTGAAGGGTCTAACCAGCTGGTGAAAATCACTGGATTGGACTGAGTGCTAGCACAGTGGGTAGAGCAGTGGCCTTGCATGCGGCTGACCCAGGTTTAAACACCAGCCCCCTATGTGATCCTCTGTATACTTCCAGGAGTGATTCCTGAGTGCGGAGCCAGGAATAAGCCCCCAGAACCACCAGGTGTAGACACAAAAGAAAACAAAGTAAAAAATTTGTGGTACTGTGATTTATGAGATATTTATGTCTCTTACCTTGCATGTAGCCACCCAGGGTTTGATCCCTCATACTGCATGTCCTCCCTAAGCTCTGATCCCGGGAGTAAGCCCTGAGTACCATCAGCTGTTGCCCTCCTGCCCACTCCATCAAAAACAAAAAAGTCACTGAATTGACACTAGGAGTATAAACTTTGAGGCAATATGATGAGGCCAGGAGTGCAAATAGCCTTTTAAAAAAATTTTATTGAATAACTGTGAGAGAGCTACAGGCTTTCATGTTTGGGTTACAATCACACAATGATCAAACACCCGTCCCTCCACCAGTGAACATTCCCTACCACCAATATCTCCGGTATACCCCCCCTTCCCATCCTCCCCCTGCCTCCATGTCAGACAATATTCCTCATACTCTCTCTCTACTTTTGGACACCATGGTTTGCAATACAGACACTGAGAGGTCATCATGTTTGGTCCATTATCTACTTTTGGCACACAACTCCCATCCTGACCAGTTCCTCAAGCCATCATTTTCTTAGTGATCCCTTCTCTATTCCAGTTGCCTTCTCCCCTGTGCTCATGAGACAGGCTTCCAGCTATTGGGCAGTCTTCCTGTCCTGTGTATCTACTATCCTTAGGTGTCAGCCTCATTATATGTTGTTTTATACTCCACAAATGAGTGCAATCCTTTTATGTCTGTCCCTCTCTTTCTGACTCACTTCACTTAGCATGATACTCTACATATCTATCCATTTATAACCAAATTTTATGACTTTATCCCTCCTAACAGCTGCACAGTATCCCATTGTGTAGATGTACCAAAGTTTCTTTAACCAGTCATCTGTTGTAGGGCACTCAGGTTTTTTCCAGATTTTGGCTATTATGAACAGTGCTGCAACGAACATATAGGTACAGATGTCATTTCTACTGTGCTTTTTTGCATCCTCGGAATATATTCCCAGAAGTGGTATTGCGGGGTCATATGGAAGTTCAACTTCTAGTTTTTGAAGGACTGTCCATACTGTTTTCCAGAAAGGCTGGACTAGTGGTCATTCCCACCAACAGTGTCCCTTTTCCCCCACATCCACGCCAGCACTGTTTGCTTTTGTTCTTTCGAATGTGTGCTAGTCTCTGTGGTGTGAGATGGTATCTCATTGTTCTTTTGATTTGCATCTCCCTGATGGCTAGCGATGTGGAGCACTTTTTCATGTGACTTTTGGCCATTTGTATTTCTTTTTTGAGGAAACTTCTGTTCATTTCTTCTCCCCATTTTTTGATGGGGTTGGAGATTTTTTTCTTGTACAATTCTACTAATGTCTTGTATATCCTGGATATTAATCCCTTATCAGATGGGTATTGGGTATTCTTTCTCATTCTGTGGACTCTTTCTCGTATCTTGGTCACTGTTTCTTTTGAAGTACAGAAGCTTCTTAGTTTGATGTAGTCCCAGCAAATGGTCTTTTTTTGTTTGATTATTTTGGAGCCACCATAGGCATTTGGTTATCTTTTTTTAAAAAAAAATATTCAGTCATTTCCTCTGCCCATTTTCCAGTAACATTGCTTTTGTTGGTGGTAGTTTTTGAGAATAAGCTGTTTGAGTTCTTTGTATCACTTAATCACTTAATCACTTAACTTCCCGTTAGTCGTCGATTTGCTAGAGCGGGCGCCAGTAACGTCTCCATTTGTTCCTGTCACGTGCTAGTGTAGCCCAATGGCATCTGTTCGCTCCGGGAACATGAAGGGCCTCAAACCGATCGTTCATGTTCTTGACGAAGAAGTCTGACCATCTGGCAGGTGGGCGGCCACGCAGTCTTTTGACATCCTGTGGAATCCAGTCGGTAACAGCTCTAGTCCAGCGGTCGTCTTTAAATCTCATTACGTGACCAGCCCATCTGATTTTCGACACCTTGGCAAATGAGACAGCGTCCCTGATTCTTGATCGTCCACGGACCAGAACTCCGGATTCTTTCTCTCATTTGAGTGAAACGTGATATTCCAAGCATAGCTCTTTCTATTCTTCTTTGGGAGACCTGAATAGCGTTCTCATCTTGTTTGCGTAGGGCCCAGGTCTCTGAGGCATATGTTAATGCAGGAAGAACAGTGGAATCAAAGAGATGTGCCCGGAGCCGGAGGTTCTTCGTCCTCTTAGCTATTTCTTCGACGTTCATGAAGGCGTTCCAAGCCGCTCTCTTCCTCCTGCGCAGCTCGGGTGCCAGGTCATTTGTCATGTTGACCTCTCGACCTAGGTACACATAGCTGTTGCATTCGGAGATGGTCGTTCCATTGAGAGCGAATGGGGCGTCAGGAACAAGGCTGTTTCTCATAAACATTGTCTTCGTAAGATTCAGCTGTAGTCCTACCTTTCCACACTCACAATCGAAGTCGGCCAGCATTTGTGCCACTTGGCTGATGTTTGGTGTTATTAAAACAATGTCATCAGCAAAGCGGAGGTGGTGTAGTTGCCGACCATCTA